AAAGCGCTCCTCAGTCTGTCCTGCCTCGCCTCTATGACTACAACTGAAATACTTTGCAATAACTTACCTGCTAAATTAATTACTGTCATTTTTAGTAATTAAAAGTGCTGCTTGGCTCAATTAAACATCAATAAATCATTACTTCATTAATTTTGGGACATCGGTATTATTCCGTTAAACAAACAGGAGCACTGCCAAGAAAAATGGAAAGCCTCTACCTGCCCCTGCACCTTATTTACAGTTTGTAGCAGCAGGGTGGTTTTTGCAGGAACCCCGCTGGATTTTCTCCAGGATATTTATCCTCTGTGAAAGATAAAAGAAACATACACAACACAATTGTCCTGCAATGTTTCTGTGCATGGCTATTTGCTGGATTTCATTAGGTTGCACAGGATTCTTCAGATTTTTTTCCTCCACAACCTTTGTGACAAGAAGCAATGGTTTGCAACAAAAGATAGAGGAAATGTGGTCTTAAATTTAAGTGACACTACTGGCAATAAACTTGACTATAGTCTTTGTTAATTGTAAATAAACCAAATCATCACAATTCATTTGACAAAAACATATTTGTATAAAAATGCTGCAACTTAACAAGCAGCAACTTATTTACTAAGAAGTTTGCTGGCAATATTGCGCAATGTATTAATATAGATAAATAAATAAAGCAGATGAGGAGTTTTTTAAGTTGTTTACTGCAAATTGTTTATGTTTATAAGGGGCTGAAAGAGGGATGAGTGGGCTCCAATTCTCCCACATTGTGTGGAGAAGACAGACTGTCAGGTGTGGTCTCTTGACCGAGGCAGTACAGCACAACAGTGTTATGAAGAAAAACAACAAGCCATTTACATTCAACAAGTTTTGCTCCACGCCTCCTCATTCCACCTTTGCGTGTGTGTGCGCGAGTGTGCGTGCAGAGAGACAAGGCGAGGACTGCGGCTGCTGTTATTGTCAACTGGATTAAATTAAAAAAAGATTTATTCAAAAGAGCTAAAAAATAAACAACAGACAAAGGGAGTGAGTGTGTAGCCTGAGGGAGGAAAGGACTGACAGCGAAGTGACAGACTAAAATGAGATTTTATTCTCTATGGCCGACTGTATGGATGAGAAACGGAAAATGCACGGCTTAGACACACAAATGCACTCTCAGACGCGAACACAAAAGTGTGAAAAAACATCTCGCCTTTCCTGATCTTATCACAAATCTTACCATCAAGGCTCAAAGCTTAGATGAATCCAAGTTTTTGAGACCTGAGAAGGGGGATGGAGACATAAGAGATGATGGTCTCAATCCTTCAGTATTACACAGCCTTGTCAGACCGACCCATTCGACATTATAAGATGTCCCTGTCCCATCTCAATTCTGCAGGGACCCTGGACAAACAGTGACAGTGACCAGCTTCAACAAAGAAGCCCAAAGCCCCACCAAAGGTTAGCACTGACAGGAGGGCTTAGGACCACGCCACCGTTCTTTCATTCCCCATTCCATCTTTTCGCATAATCTCACATCTATCATTTCCCTCCATGCCTGTCAGCTTGCATTTCAAACTAAAGCCCCGTTGGGTCACTGCAGCCGGTCAAGACACGCACACATATTCTAAAACAGATATCCACGTACACATGCGTTTATCACACTCAAATTCATTCATCGGCACAGACAAAAGCACGCATGCATGTGCAGTCTTACATACATGTCGTGCAGTAAAGGTCACACATTCAGTGCTGGACAGTGTGATAATGCATCAGACTTGGATAAACAACTAGTGGTGAAGGTGGCAGGATATAAATCAGGCACAGGCAGAGATAGCCTCCTTTCCACAGGCGACTCTTATCTACAGTCAGTGTCACAGGGAAAGTGAGTAAAAGCTTTGGTGCTACGTGTATGCATGTGTATCTAACATACTGTCTTATTACATTATCTGTTACATGCTGTGTATATTTACGTATATGTGGAAGAAATGTGCACCAAATGTCTTTCTCTATATCTTTGAGAACAGTTTATGATTCATGGCAACAATTCTAGACTTTTATTTATTTTTTACAGTTTAGTATTTGTTCATACTCACTCCAGACAATATTGTTCATGTATCCCTAAATTTGTGGGGGGAAAAGTAGTCATTTTTAAATGTGGAAAAAGATGAAAGGGAAATCGAGTTTTTTTTTTTTTTACTGTATTAGTATGGTTCTGGCTTTTTGTAGAAAATCATAGCTAAAAAATTTAGATGTGTGTATGTCTCTTCATATGTATGTGTGTATTTTTGTGTGTTGTGGATGTAATGAGGTCACAGTGATGCAGTAGCGTTCCGGTTCGGAGAGCTCCATCATTCTCTGGCGGGAATACTGCAGGAGAACGGCAGGGAACAGCTGTACTGCACAACTACACACACACACACTCTTCCCTCCTCCCTTAAGTACCTACCTCTCATACTTTAATTTATTTCTTTCTACAACGCTAAGGAAAATGACCAAGTTGTACCACTGCAATGAATGGAACATATGCACACTGGCTACTTGCTGAAGCCTATTTGTACCACCTATTTCTAAAATTACATGGTTAACTTGTGTATATCTCATACCAATTAAACTAAATTCACACAAAAGGGCAAGAGTATTACTGATGGAAGAGAGACACATTCAAGAGGGAGACACCAAAGTGACATTTTTATCTCAGTGTAGTTCAGCTGAATCATTTTTTGCTACCAAAAATATCCCGTCCCGATCCAAGCTTTTACTCGAATTTCAAATCAGAAACATTATTTTCCATGTTGACTATTACTGAGCAGCAACCCAAAGAACCTGCATAAGAACGGGTGCTGCATATAGCCATGACACATACTATTCCTCCCAAATCCCATCCGATCAGGAGACCTGATTTTTCCATCTTGTCCTCAACAGAATCTCACAAAGTAATGGCACATGGTACTGTAAATTCCAACCAACCAACAGTCCTAATTAAAACTTCCAAAAGCACATATATGGATGTTATAACCCTTGACAGACCGTCTGCTCCGGTCCCACACATCTTCCTTCTTCACTATAATGAACCGTAGCCTAATATCAGCCATAACACTAATCAATCCCTGGAGTACTATCACTCTCTTTACAGTAGCACTGACATGAGCTAGAGTGGAAATGAAGACATTCTAATAAGAAAGATGTCATCTCCCACACTTTATAACAAACCCTTACATTAACATATCAAATGTTAATTCTATCAAGTATGGATAAGACCCTGGCTTTTCTTTTTTCTTTATCTCTGGGGACATTTTCAACTTTGAGGAAATCAAAAGCCTGGGTGAGACAAAAAATATTTCCTTTTATTATTCAGCAGAGGCCATAGATAGCATCTTATCTCTGTAGGGTCTCTGTCATAAGAGAGAGAGGGAGAGAGCTTTAAAGGAAAGGTACACACATTATGTTCACAAAAGATGTTCAAACATATCAGTGAATACAAACATACACCATCACGCATGAACTCACACACATAAACAAGGAAGGGCCAAACACGCCCTGTTAAATCCAATTAACCCTCTGCTCTGATCTTCTCAATGCATCCCTGCCCCTGTCTTGTAACACCAGACGTTCCCGCCATTTCATTAGCACACACACACACACACACACACAGATTCTCTCATCCTCTACCTTTCCACAATTGCAACCCAGTCATAACCCTGCTAATGCACCTCCTATAATCCAATCAGCCAATCATTGCTCTTCATTCAAAAGCCAGTGTCACATGACTACCCGCACGTTAGCCCTACGTTTGCAGTTAGCGCTGTCATTTGGCACTAATGTTATTCCAGTGGATTTTTTTTCTTTAATGTGATTTGGGAAGTCTCAACTCCGGCTTCCACGAGTCTAGCGCTAAACCCCCGGTGGGCTAGGCTAATCAGTTTCCAGCATTTCTGAGGGAGACAATGATCCCAGTGTTAGCGCTGGCTAATGACAAGCTAACACAATTAGCCTAGCCTCCCTGGAGGAGAGCTCAGAGCCAGGGCCCATTCTTGCCCCACCTCCTGCAGGCTCCTCATCCACTTTCCTTACATTACTATGGAGCCTAATGGCCTCTTATTAAGAAGACAGATGGAACACGGATGGGGGGGCATTCTGCATCTTCTTGAGTTACATATATGTGTTGGGTATGTGCTTCATCCGTAACTGCTTGGATGCTTATTATTACCTTCTCTGTTAATAGCGTCAATGAAGTAATCGTTCTTTTCACTGCAAGGTGTGGCTGTAACATGTATTTACAGCATAGCATAGCATTATCAGAGTGAGGACCACATATGCACTTATGGTGCTGTAATGCAGATAAAAGTTTTAGATAAAAGTAGATGCTAAAAATATTTAATATTTCTTGGAGTACAAGACTAGTGGTAAGTAGTTCGCAAATACAAGGGGCAAAATAGTCAAAACTTTTTGAAAGCCAATGTAGTCTTCTTTTCTGCAGCACAGAAGTTATCTTATACTTTGTGTCTTGGTGAAACACTACCCATGTTATAAAACTGCTCCAAATTATTTTATAATCCCGTTTGTCCAAGGTCTGGTTGAAGATAAGATTTTACAGACTAAATGAAGCTCTTCCAACAGCGAAAAATGTAACAAGGCACAAGAAAAGCCCTGTCAGCTATCGTTAACATTCGATCAGGCTTATCAGTGAACCACATCGTCAACATCAGCTAATGGGATGGGCTAATGCGGTTCTGATTGAAAGATGTAGGTTAGAATGTGGCTAGCATAATTCAATAGCATGTTTACTGGTCCACATGGATTTCAAATGTTCAATGAATGCATAATTTTAGAAAATACACATGAAGGTCATCAAATAAATACCTGCTATATGCACTATTTCTATAAAGTGTTTTTATGAAAAAGTAATTTAAAAGAAACAAGAAAGCAACATTGAAAGTTTTATTTTTTGAGCTAATAGTAAAGAATAGGTACAATTCTTGGTTGGATTAAAAGTTTTCGATCAACGTTGGATCGACTGCGTCTTAACTTACTTGAACTTGGCATTCACTTGGTCGGCAGCTTTATGGTAGTTCTCTGTGGTGACCTTGTAGAACTGAGCGCTCTGCAGAGGGACATAGAGAAAAACCAGTGAGTGAGACAAATGCATGAAAATGTGTCTCTTATATAAAAAAAGACCATCCAATATATTCACATCTTTTAGGTTGAGGCTATTTAGGCAAAAGGCAACATTTTAGTAAACAGTTAACAGTTAAGATCTGGTATAGTCCAGTACAGTGCAGCTGAGCCTATACAGCCATGCTTCATCGACCACCACTCTAACTCCATTAAAACTTAATGGAGAGGGATATTAAGGGCACAGGTCTATTGCCATTTGGGCTTATTGTCCACAACACGGAAGCTAACTTTGTGATCTGTAATGTATATAGTTTGTTAGTGGGGATTATGTAAGTAGGTATGAAGTCTGCAGCGATGAAAAATATCATCATTTTTTCTATTTTGTCTTGTTTGTGTGTGGTTGTGCACCATGTACGTTTGCCTCTGTGTGAGTGTGGGAATTACAGGTATTTGTGTGTTTATGTGGCTGTGCTTATCCTCTCACAAACGACTGCTGTAATAACAGGCAGCAATCCTATAGGGTCAGAGGGTCGCTAGTCAACATCGCACAGACCACTGGTCATAATCCCCTGGTGACCCATAGCAAATGAACCCATAGCAGAACCCCTCAACCTGAATTACCTACTCAAACACGGCCATATAACCTAGCTCCTACACCATTTATACTACTTGAGGAAGATCTGTTTTGTCAGCCCTCAGCGGCTTTTCTGCACATTTATGATCAAATGGTGAGAGGTTGTAAAGTGTGATGGATGGCTCGACTAAGGTTTGATCCAGAGGCAAAATTAGGCAATGTCTACCAATGCCAATGTCTTCCTGTGAACTTTAATGGCAGTCATACTCACAAACATACTTTCACTAAAAAAAAGCATAGTTCACACAAGCATAAACTTTTCTTCCCAATAAGACAGGTCAGAGGTTTTGTGCCATTACCTGTTGGGTTATTGTTGAGCTACACAATCAGTACTGCATGACGAAGTGCTCGGCTAAAGATTCAGAATGTAATTATCCAAAATCATAAGCAGACTTTCACAAGAACCACAAAAAAAAAATCTAAGTTGGTCCTGTCAGCTGGTTCTGAAGAAGTTTTTACATTTTTAAAAAACTTACTTTTATACAATCTGTGCATTGTTAAAAGAACAACAATTATATATTTTAGCAAAGGCCTGACAATAACCTTAGACTTCAAAGGAATTCACCGGAAACCAAATGCTTTAATTGTCTTGCATGAATTACACTAGATACATTAGAAAATGTAAGCCTCTTGGTCCCTTCTGCCCTAACATAACCTCCTTGCAGGAAAGACATTCATCATAGTTCAGAAAAGATCAATGGGAATGAACTGCGCTGCTGAAAAGATCAATAGTCATGTGTTGTAGAGCTAAAAGAAGATGGGACATGACAACACTGACAAAAGGTCTGATACAGATTTGAGTCCTCTTCATTTAAATGGACTCAGGACTCTGACGGTTTGCAATAGATTCAGAGTCCTTCACTTTTTCACAGACATCATTTAAAAAAAGTTTTTTTTACATCAATATGGAGACTGCTCTCCATTAAAACACGTTTATATACACGATATATACACTAGAGCAGGGATTTCCAACGTAGCCCACGAGTAGCCTATGGGGGGCCCAGTGAGCATGTTCTCAACCTTCTTGCATAACACTTCCAAGGGAGTGTACTTGGGTTTCATTGTGTCAAAGCATGTAAAAAACATTACTGATTAAGATTTATCATAAGATCTTTCAGTGTTAATACAACAACCAGAGAAAAAAAATTAAGTTCCTTTCCCGCTATGTTAGTCTATTGAAAGCATCAATTTAACATGGTGTTCGTATACAGAGTATCTGACAATTTTCTCCTTTTAGGTTGTCCTCCATCTGAACAAGGTTGGAGACCCCTGCAGTATATAGCATCTATATACTTTACAGATTGGTATTGAACTGAAACAACGAATCACCCATTTACATATATTTTACATATAATTTATATTTTATTTACGCTCTTTGCTATGACAATTCAGATTTTTCAGAGATATTTTGTTTCCTTTGATTATTCATGAGATGTCTTAAGTTGACACATGTCAAATTAATAAAATTGGGAATGATTTATGTCTATGTGGGGTCCCATATCCCATGAGTAATTAAGTCATGATCTCCAAGAAACCCTTCTTACCTTTCCAAGATATATAATATATATGAGACTGTTATTTTCAATAATTTCAAATGGAAAATAATTAATTGGTCTGTATACTCTCTCCAACTGACTGCAGTTGTCCCTCAGGCAGACAGTAGTTTGTATGTAAAACACTATAAACAAGTATGCCCAAAGTTTAAGAGTTAACTTGTAAGCTCATTCTATATCTATGCCCTCTTGGCCTTGAATCAAGTGGTTTTCAGTGTAGACAAAGAAACTGTCAAGAGCTAAGGAAAAGGATTTAAAAGAGAAGCTTATTCACAGATAAAAAGACTAAAAAGAGATTTTGGGGGCTGCTAAAGAGGCGAAAATAAGACTTCTCCCGGGTGCCGAGATTGAGGCATTGGAAGAGAAAGAGAAAGTCAGAAAGAACTGGATTTGGGTCTCTGTCTAGAATACTAAGTATAAGGTAATAATACCTGGCTAAATGGCAGAGCTGGCACTAATCAGTGCAATAATCCACCAGGGAGGACAAAAGGCCATGTGTGACAATGATTGCAGACCACTTACAATACACACACACACGCACACACTCACACACAAACAATGCACCTGCATTCACGCCGACACCTACACACAAAAGGTACTAACACACACAGCACTGGTACATTTGTGGACATGCTGCACAAAAAGTGTCTACACATACCCTGGTGGCTGGATATAAACAGTCACTCACTCGCTCGCCACCAGGCAGAGAAGAGTGTAATTTGTGTGATTACTGAGTGGTCTCAAATTGTGATTTCCAGCTGTTGGTCCAACTGATTTAAAGAGTAGCCCTGACCTTTTGTTAGCCCAGAGACAAGAGCCTATGCTTAGTTTGGTAGAAAACATTCCTACCTGGACCAAAAAAATATATATTTTTACCAGCTTTGAAAAAACAATCTTGTTTTAACTCTCACAGAAAGATGTTTGATTGCTGACAACCAAATCATCCAGTGTCAATAGATCAACAGAATTGTGTAGCTACAAGAACCTGGTATTGTGTATGCCTCATGTGCAAGTATCTACCTCTAAACCAGTGTTTATTTTCCATTCACTCTATTTGCTTTCCACTAGGTTTTTAGCTCATCTGGAGCCAAACAATATGCTGGTGGGGGGTGTCATAGACAAATTAAGTCATTACTGCTAATGCACTGCAGCGATATGGAGAAGATAGAAGCGGCACCCCAACGCAGGTTCCAGCTCAATTTAGAGAAAAAAGCCTCCAATTTTTAATGAATAAAACAAATAACTCCCTGTCCTGATGGCTTCTTTCTCTTATCTGCTGCTGAGCAGGAGGGCCGAAATGGGGAGAAACCCCACCATGGCCAACATTACGGTTCTGCAGAGCTAGAGAAAATGAGACTTCTGCTGTGTGACTCACTGCAACTTGCTCATAAGGAGAGCAAAGAGGCTGACAAACTGTTATTGAGATTGAGCCTATCTTGCACACACAGAGCTGACTAAGCATTGACAAAAATTTGCCTTAAGGGGCAAGACAACATCCTAGGGTGGAGGTGCACAGATATGAAAACCAGAACTGTCCATTTTTGCCATCAACATGTTAAACTCCTTAAAGGACCTACTTTGAGGCAAAAGTAATTAAATCTGCCTACCAGCACCTATCGCCATGTGTTCACACAGAACGCGAGGCGAATTTTAGAGGTGGAGCTAGTATACAAAGTAAACAGAAAGATGTGATCAGGCAGGAATTTGCCCAGAGCAGTACGACTTGACACAAAGACTCAGTTGAAACTGATTCCATTTGAGCAAAACATCTGCACGTATCCCAGGGCTTTATAATTCTACTTCGTGAACATAGAAAGACTGGAGGAAAATAGTTTCTGATGAGTTCTGAGATCAGTCAGAGGCACAAACTCTCACAGACACACTCTAACACACAAGGTTGATGCGTCAAATGCTAGTTAGCTTACAGCTAAAGTCTGTGCAGACGGTAAACTGGCCCTTTGGACAAATGTCCTGCAGTCAAATCTGAAGCAAAAACCAAAATGTAAAAACGGCACATTGTAGATTCATGGGAGTTATGTGCCGGACCAGGCTCAGTTCATTCTCACAGACCTAGCTAGTTTCCCGCTGTTTCCGGTCTTTGTGCTAAGCTAGGCTAACCCGCTGCTGGCTTCTTCAGCTTCATATTCATGATATAGACATGAGAGTGGTATCTTCTCATCTACTGTAGCATTGGCAAGAAAGCACGAAAGCATATTTCGCAACTATTCCTTACATTTATATAAGCAATTTAAGAACTTTTTAGTTCTTTAAATAAATTTTCTAGCAAACCACTAGATGTTCTATCTATATATATAGCAAACAACTATCTTAATAACTAAGTAAAATGTGTTACACCCTTATTTTCATTTTCATTTATGAATACAGAAAAATAGAAACACCTTTCAATATAATGCAGTCCAATAAAATACCACCAGTTAGTTGAATCAACATCTCTGTGACTTAGTTTCAAAACTGAGCCTTATAAGCTGACATTTAAAAAGTTGTATCTCAGCATTATTATTTTAGCCTGTGGAGTGTTACTGCTGTAGGATTTTTATAAAACATAAACTAATGTGCCACTCTGTTGTTGTGAAATCACTATTCCTTGAAAAGACTTCCAGTTAAATCCCTGTGAATCCCATCATGCGGCTGTAACAGCAAACAGTCTCAGACACAATAATTCAACACTGCAGCACACTGTCATGTCTCTCTGGATTACTGTCTCCAGTTATACAACTAGCAGAGCTAGAGAAAGACAACATTGATTGCTTCATGGTTAAAAAACCCACTTTCTTCTACAAAACAGAAACAAGATAAGCCAAAAACAACTGTTTGAATTTCAATTTTTAACACCACAAGCATAATGCACTTGAAATTTTAGCCCCATTGTCCAGAGAGCGAGACAGAGGGCAAAAGGCTGAGAGGGAGAGGGATAGAGAAATGACAGACCGAGGGATAGATGAAGATAGCAAGTTAGAAACGTAGACAGAGATAGAGAGATAGAAGCTATTACTGTTTTTTTAATGCTCTTTCCCCTGTATTTTCTTCCTTTCACAGCGCTGTGGAACTTTGCTATGAGATGGCAATTGCTGCAGTGATTGTCCTCCATGGGAGAGCAGAAAAATCCAATTTCATCGATATACAAGGCGAAAAGAAAGATAGAAAAAAGAGAAGAAAAATGTCCTCTAAAAAAAAAGAAAGAAAAGAAATTGAGGTATGAAGAAAAAAAAAACACCACTCCAAAAGAAGAAAAAAAAAAGCTGAAAAGGAGAAATATAGAGACAGATGTGGCGGGGAGGGAGGGCTGGAAAGAGACATTGTAGAAGAAAAAAAAGGAAAAAAAAAAAACATGGGCACGTTGATTGTTAAATATGAGATTGTTTTACAGCAGGGCAGGTATTGAGTGAAAATGTAATAAATATATAGATATTGTTTTCAGGGGCTATTTGGTAGCTGTGGCCCCAATGAGCGGCAACAGCAGAAGCAGCAGGCTGAGCTGCCTGGGAGCCTGGTGATGGCCTGTCACTGGAAGCCCCTCTGATGAATGGCCATGTTGGATTGGAACAGACGTGTAATATATATCAGACTTATATTAGTCTCCTTCTCTCTCTCTCTCTCTTTTGGTGCCTCTTTCTGTTGGTGTGTGAAGATGCTTGGGGAATCCTGAGGTAAAGGGAGGAATGGAGGGCAGCTGGAGGGAGGGTGAGGAACGTGATGGGAGATAATATTAAGCTAGCAGTATACTCCCGGTGAAATCAAATTTACTGCATTCTCACTGACAAAATAGAGGGTTTGCACAGCATTGGGCGCTGATACAGAGTTTCTTTTGACACGCTATCACTCTTATGAATATTTAAATCAGCCATGTGATGTCTCAAAACAAATCCTGTGCACTAAGTCCTGCAACACCAAATCATCTTACTGTACTCACATATTTTATTGTGTGGTGCAGTAACGTGCATTACAAGGCTGCAGCCAATGGTTTTTATTATAGATTAATCTGTTGATTATATTCCAATAATTGAAGAGATAAGATGCATGCTCAAACTCAAGGATATATCATTTCTATAGATTTAAACCAACAAAAGCAGATTATCACGTTTACTGTCTATTGTCTATTTGTATTATTCACCTAGAGTGGACACGGGAACAGAGCATGCCAAAAATGATTTTGTTTGGTATACTGCAGGGCGTACTCTGGGTGAAAAGGACTGTGAGTGAAGAGACGATGGACTGAGTGCCAAATGGGGCACTGTGGCCAGAACAAGAAAAATCAGCGTTATTTAACACAGTCCAAACAAACTGCACCCCCTATGGAGTCCCAAGCCGCTTGCTGCACAGTAAGACAACATGCAATATGCTCAAATTGATCCTCAGTTAGACACGGGATCACACACCATCACACAAAACGCACAGATGCCGCCCTGTCGGTTGTGTTTCGTCGTCCGCGGCGGTAAAAAAAGCCCTGGAGAGAGGGTCAGGGTGAAAATGGTGGTGTTTGTGTGCAAATTTTGAAGACAAAGTGCTTGTGAAATATAATGAATTTATCATTTAATTCCTGTGCATGAATCATTAAATAAATCAGGGAGCGCACTGTTCATTTTCACAGACCCTTCCTGCATCTCACATTCCCCATTTCTCACACTCGCCTTCCATTTTATTTTACCTTTTCATGATGTAGTGCTCTTTCAACCTTTTCTTTACAGTGTCTCTTGTTCTTTGTCATTCAGTGACATTTTATCTTTTTACCACTCTTCTATTTCTTCCACTTTTGTCTTTTTCTTGTTCTTATCCTCACTCACTCACTCACAAATGTCACTTTATCATAATATACTTTCTCAGGTAGAATCTCAAACTGTCCTTTTTCTATCTTGTCTTATCTCAGTTTCTATCTTCAATACAGTATTCCTTTCAGTCCATCCCTGTCTCTCTGTCTTTCAATCTTCTGTCGCTTTTTGTGGTGTGAAGGTGATTTGTTGACACTTTGATCTAGGGAATATTGACCAGAGGCCAACATGGCTGATGGATGGCGAGCGCCTGAAGTCGATAATGCCTGCGTTAGTTGGGACTCATCACATCTACCATCAGAGCTCACATTTGCTCCTATACAAGGAAACGCAGTAGAGCTACACTGTCCAAAGATGTAATAATGCAACACGATTGAAAGACAGAAGCTCAGCTATAGGACTGGATCTGTGAAGTGCAAGCAGAGAGCATGCCTGCATCTCATATTATTTTAAAATTCTTCCTTTTTTTTTTACCAAGCCAATGAAAGTCTGTAACAAAAGTTGTTTTCTCAAATTATCTGACAGAAGGCCACTACCACTCAATACTCAATACTCAGAGGTTGGGTCAAACATGTATACACAGTGAAGGAAGAAAAATGTGCAAGCTTTATTGACCCAAAGGGAAAATTGTCTTGAGTGTAATTGGAACTAAGAAATCCACACTCAAAACAATAAACCAGCATGGTTATTGCAAATGTGAATTACTTATCAGCTAAGACAAACCTTCAGAAATGGCAAAAAAGAAAAGAATATTTAAAGCAATCTCTGTAACAATGAGGTGTGCACACAAATGGAAAAGCATCCACAGGGTAAGACACCATGTTTACACCAAGAAACACATTTGAGCCATTTAGATAAAGCAAAACGTATTTGACATTAAGGTTCTTTTGAGAACAATCTACCCACTGAGTATGTGATATTTTGCTATCCTTGTATCCATGTGAATTCATATAAACTTTTGGGAGTTCTAAGAATAAGAATAAGAATCGATCACAATGAAATCTGGTTTCACAATGGTGCGAAATTTCCATTTTGCCTACACTATGGGCATTTGACTTCTTGCACCCTCCAAAGGGGAGAAACCTCCTTCCCAGTATGAAGGCATCATTTTAAGCACGTTAAATAGGGCATTTTATCCTTGCTAAGATACACTTATGATTTGAGAACAGCATGAAGGCGTCCTTTTTAAACACACTTTAACAGGGCATTTGACCCTGGTTACCTGCCTTGCAGGCATGTCTCACTGGGACCAGCATGGAGCTGCCAATTGAAGTGGGTTAAGCATGGCAGCTGACCCTTGTCCCCCTCCATAGGACGCTGGTTTGACAAGGAACATCGAGGCGGTGTCATTTTCAGGGACAGGAGGACACACACTGAGATGAATGAGATGTAACCTTTTATCCTTCAGGTGGAGGGACGGAGAGTGAATTTAAGAAAAAAAAAAGAGCCAGAGAGCAAAAGAGCGGCAGAGAGACAATTACAGAGAGTCGGAGAACAACAGAGGGAGCGATGAACACCACACTGGGGAAAGCATGCAGAGTTTAAGTTGAAGGATGATAACAAAAGCAGTGGGGCAGAGGGATGAAAAAAAAAGAATAAATGTGACTGTACTTTGGCTGAGCCCTGTGGTGACCAAGGCTGGCTAAATTGTGTGTACAAATCTGTGTGCTTTTTTCTGTGTGCACTGCTGTGTGTTGATGAGTGCATTATACATTAATACAGGTATGATATGAAAACTTTCCCCCAGGCAGAAACTAGAGCTGCAGTGTGTGATATATATTCAAGAAAATAGCAATGATGCCCTTGCTTGGTGACTGTATAATGCAGCATTTAGTTTTTACTTTGTCTTCTGCTGTAAAACGGAAAGTTACTTTTTGCTTCACCTTTGGATACTGCGTCCTTCACCTTGGCATGCACTTGTTAGTTTGATGCTTTGGTTTGGTTTGGTTTTGTTCTATTATTTAGGCCTTTTTTTATTTCCTTTTTGTGGTTATGTTGTAGCACAAAACTGTTGTTTTCTCCTCAGTGCTTTGCTTGGTCACCATAAAAACAAAACATCTAAAGCAGTTTTGTCAAGTTAGTCTACCCCAGTGTGCAATAAACCAACTTCCATAAGAATTCCATTAAATAGACATGTGCCATATGTAAAGCTCTACATATAAAAGGCACAGTACACTTGTTGAATTCTGTCCTGAGTTGGTTTCTGCTTTTTAAAAAGCAAAAAGTGTTGGTATCTGCATTCCCACCGACAAGATCCCCACCTTGTCATAGGAGACAAACTACTGATATACCACCTGAAAAATCTAATAAAAACTAAAAGAAAATTCATTAAGTGTGTTTCTCCAACTTTGGCTGAGAAATTAGCTCAGTGAAGGGCGATAAAAGCTTTACTGTTACCATTAAAATAAACCACATCATCGTAAGATGATTGAAATATCATCACTTTATTTCTTGGAGCAACTGGAAGAGCCTTGTTTTGTGAGTTGGGTAGAAAATTTGGATGTCGGACATCAACAAATTTTTACCAGTAAAAAACAACCGGATACTCAGGTTGGGTTACCTAGAACGATTAATGTAATGTCCATATACGGTCATTTTTCATGTTGTTGTCTGGTGCAAACTGTTTCTCACCCTCTCCTCCAGCCGTGCCACCTGCTCTCTGTAGAAAGCATCCTGCTTCTTTAAGTCTGCTTCTCTTGCCTCCAGCTGTTTCGCCTAAACACACACAAATAACAAAAACACACACACACACACACACACACACGTACCCATATGCAGCATACACACATGCACACGCAGAAGAGAAGAAAAACCATTACTTATGTGATCAGTGGAGCAGTGACAATTTTAACAAACTGATCACAAAATACACACATACACATGAGAGAGGCCTATAATGAGAACTCAGACAAGTGTGTATAAATAAGAGACACATTATAATACAACACAGACACAGGGTTTCTGTTTAATGGCATATATAGACTGTGAAACACATTGTGAATGATTTCTTTATTGTAATGTTTCATGATGTGTGCCTGCCACCGAGAGAGGTTTAGGTGAGTTTTGCATGTAAGGGAACAAGGGCACATTTTGCTTAATGTGTAGAAAATACACATGTGTGATGCCTTGACATGTATTGTATGTGCTTCTTTGTCCTCTTGTGTTCAATCTTCACCCAAACCACTATCAGGCCAAGAGGATAAGATCAGTTCTCAGTGCGAAGGAGCACCATGGTCTGGCGTATATATTTACCCAGCCTACCAATCTCCACTGTCCTCCCCTCTACTGTGACCTTCACTAAACGTACGGCTGACTCTCTGGGTGATATACAGAACAGATAAGACCTGGATGTATCAGCTCCCAGACAGAAGAAAACAGACCTTCGCACTGGGACAGAGGGCCATGACTCAAATCAAAATGGAAATTAAAATGTTATTAATAGTGATAGAAGTTTAATCCTCTCTACAGACAGAACAACACAGTTTTGTGGACCACATATTTTGTATTTGGGTAATTCTCAGCATTTACTTGACGAGGTCTATAGGTATATTAATAGTTATGGTATGAATGATAATGCTTTATAGACTGGTGGAATTCAGACTTGTATCAAGCAAACCAAAAACATTCATGGTATTCTAAAAATTACTCTAAAAGGTCTGTAAAAGAAAAGGTGAAAAACGTTTAAACAAGACAGTGAACTGTGTTACTGAAAGCCACAGTGAACTTTAGCATTTTGTATTACTGCTCCCTTTTGTTAATAACTCTTCAGAAACAAGCCGAAGTTGTCATCTCATCTGTAATTCTACAAAGTATCTGAAGCAAGAGAAGCTGTTAAAAGGGATAATCAAAACTTTGAGTAGTTGAAATACCTGCTGAAAGAGGAAAGAAATCCTTGACTCTATCATGCAGAAACAGTGAGAGAGAGAACTGTAGAGTCTAGGAGAAGGTAGGTAAAGACCTCTGGACTTACCGTCTGTCCTATCTCCTGAATAAGGGGAGCATTGAAAGAAAACAAGAGACAGAGAAAAAGAAAGAGTGTAAAAAGGCAGTGATTCATCTACGGACTTCTTCAAAGTGACGTTTGGAAAAGGTTTAGTATTCAGAGGCCAGGGGTGACTGGCTACCGCATTGTTCTGCTTGAACACTCACACTTCATCCTCTCAATCTCCTCTCTCACAGGCATACTCAAACACACACACTAGTGCATACACACACAACACATTTATGGTATATAACAATATACCATTATGCACACATGCACAGTTACATAGATGGAAGCTCAAAGTCAAACACACACACACCACCTTACTGCAGAGGACTATGGAAAGCAGCCATGCAAGCCTTTGCTTTAAGCACTATAGGATGTTGAAGGAGACAGAGGGTGAGTTTGAAGAAAATACAACGTATGGAGAAAAAGAAATTGCATTACCCCATCCAATCTCAACTACACTGATAACCATCTGTGTTTGGCTACTCAATGCACTGCAGGCAGAGCTGGGCACTCTATGCATTGTGATGAG